GGGGCTTATGCCCAAGCAGTGAGCCTGGAGCCCCTGTCCAGACCCTAAGAGGAGTAACGTAAGAACAATATGGATTGTGCGCATGCTCAGTTTGGGGCTGAAACTCCTTGGAAGTCCCAGGACTGGGAGGTAATGGCACTAGGGCGGGGCGTTATAACAACGACTTAGATCTGGCCGCCACTCTCGCCTGTACACACTGGCAAAGGAGTCAGGATGCAGAAGTTAGTTCCTGGGATTTAGATCTTTGGTCCTCTACTTTTGTTTCTAGCATTCTTGGTTCTGTCTTTCTTAGCCTTTCCTTTAACACATGAAGTGTCTCCCCTATGCCAGATCCAAACTGTGACCACAGCAAATGTCTTAAGCTCTGTACACTTCTGTTTTCTCGTCCCTAAAATAGGACTATTAGCCCAGTGTGGTGGTGCGCACCTATCATATCAGCACTGAGGGGGGCTGTGGCAGGAGGATTCTGAGTTCGAGTCCAACCTCAGCAGTTTAGGGACTGAGCAAGACCCTGTGTCAAAAAATTAAAAAAGGCCTGAAATGTACCTCAATGTGAAGGCTCTGGGGAAAAAAAAAAAAAAAAAGACAGGTATATTAATGACACCTAACTCACATTGATTATGACAATTAGATGAGTTAGTGGAGTAAAAAATGTGCACATATATGTATAGAAGTCATTTGTAAGCATAAACACAGGTATTATTTTCATTATTATAGTTACATTGCATATAAAATATACATACAATGACATATATTACATAGATGTGATGGTAGCATCGTCCCTGTGCTAGGACTAAAAATACAGTTGTATACAATTCCTAGTTTTGCACAGTTCCCATATATAAAATTATACAAAATTTTAAGTGTGACTGAAGAACACTCATGGGCCGTGTATGCAGAAAGAGGACTTTCTGACACGAGAGGGAGTCAGAGGTCCTGAGGTCTGAGGGCTTCCGGTGAACGGGAGTTAGGATTGTGGCAGTGGAAACGAGTGAAGCCCGCCTGGGCTGCCTGAGAAGTCCAGTGTGACGGCAGCCCCGAGAGAAAGGGGAGAGGAGGCTGGAGGTGTAGGAAGGGTTCGGACCTTACCCTCGGGGCAGTGGGAAATCCGGTGAACGTGAAAAGTCTTTGAAAAACTCATCAGAGCTGTGGTGAGAATCTGAACCGAAGGGGCAAGGACAGAGACCAGTTAAGAGGTAGGCAGCCACTGTCATCTAGCGAGAGAGGGTGGCAGGGGGAGACTGAAGGGAGATTCAGGACATTCAAGGGCATGAAAGCCAAAGTATCTGTGTTTCTCCTCCCGCCATGCTGGGACATGGCCTCTGAGGACGGCAGACTGAGCTTCATTCGCTGCTTTAGACCTTCTTTGCCCTGTAAATTTGGACATCCCTGGATTCTCTGGGCCTTAGCATTCTCTGATGGAAAGAATAATCCTTTCCATGTAAGGCTGGTCAGCATGGAAGAATGAAAAGTTGCCTTGGGCCTTAAAATTAATTAGTTCGAATCACTTATTAATTGTGCTTGTAAAGATAATGAAAGCGTCCAGAAAAATTGCTAACTTGTAAAAGTGAGTCTTATCCTTTGTTTCTACCATCTGCTTTTAAAGGCATTTTGCAATAATTATTCTAATTGCTGAGCTCGTAAGTGGGTTTTTTAATGACCACGTACGGAGTAAACCCAGCCTCCTCTGAGTAATGCAGTTTATAACCTGAAGTCACCAGGCTCTGGGACAGTAAACACTTAGCCATACATAGTTTCCGGGAAAAAGGCACCTGCTCCCAAGGTGCCGGGCCTTGGCAGGTCCCTTTAGAAAGCAGCTATGACTGCAGACAAAATTAGAGCGAAGTTCTTGGTGAGTTTCGCCTCATGAACTGGAGCTTCTCAACTGAAGCACCTTTGGGGCTAGGTAATTGTTGGGGGGGCTGCACAGTGCACTGCTGGGTTTTAGAGGCATCCCTGATGTCCACTACTTGCTAGTATCACCCCACCACACCCCATCATGACAACCATAAATGTCTCTCTAGGCACTGCTAAGGGTAGTTGGGCAAAATCATCCCTACTTGAAAACCACTGATATAAACTCCAATACAACTTGAGGAGAGATAGAATGGACTCATTTTCCATTTTAGTAAACAAAGATAACACACTGTGACCAGAGGCATGATGTCAGGCATGATTACTTGGTGGTTAGAGATCCATCGGCAAGGTTCTCTCCCTGGGCTAAGATGTCAGGGGTCAGCAGCGTTGAGGCCCTCCTGGGGGCCCTCGGGAGAATGCTTCCCTGCCACTTCCGCCTTCCAGAGGCCACTGAATTCCCTGGGTGCTGGCCGTTCCTCCATCTTCAGAGCTGGCCTTGGTCATTGAGTCCGCAGGGTGCAATGCTGTCACCCTCCTCCTGCCCTCACATCTGCCATCCTGACTGCTGCCTCCCTCTTCCACTTCAGGGAGCTTTGTGATTGTGCGGCACCCCCGCCCAGTCGTCTAGGGTACTCTAGCTCTGCGAGTCAGCTGATCCCCACCCCAATTCCACTGCGGCCTTAACGCCCCTCTTCCCTGTAACCCAGCAAGGGCCCAGGTTCCCGGGATTAGGAAGGACAAGGCCGAGGGCCGTGGGACTGGGGCTACAGGAGCATAGGGCCTGGCGCAGGGGGCGGGTGGCGGGTGCGGCCCGGGCTGCCGCAGGGGCGCGCGTGCGGGCTTCCGCTGTCCCCCTCCAG